ACACACACACTCACAAACACACACATACACGGATCATTGCCCTATTCTCTTTTCCCTTGCAGGTTTCCTCAACGCCTATCCTTGTGCCTCCGGCCGTCAAGATGTTTCGCTGTGATTGTCATGAAAGAACCAGCTCTCCGGGAACAAACCAGAGGACACAAATAGGCGAGGAGTGACGGCATCCACACGAGCTCCGCTGGTTTCGCTGCCCACGTTGGGTTGCCTGGTTTGAGTGGGCACGTTACCTCTCCAACCCTCCTGACCTTTCTCTTCTCGATTGAAAGGCCACTGATTTCTCAGACAGGAACTCCCCATAAACTTCCCTCTTTCATTCATTTCATCTCCGCCATGTCTCATGTTCAATATTCCCTTCTTTCCTTATAGGGGAAGAGAGGGTAAGGGATGCTATACTCGCACATCCTGCGTAGCCCACCGTCTATGTGAGACAAAAGCATCCAGGGTGGAAAATGGAAGTGGAGCGTCCTGGCTCTGAGCTTATGAAAGTGCCAGCGACTGTATCTATCCATAGTCTCTTTGAGAACATAATGCAACCCTACAGTGCAGAAGCACTCCAGATGACAAGGTAGGGAGGAGAGGGAGGAGAGAGAAAGACTTAATGAAAGAGAAATGCACAATGGCACAGTTGCAAACAATTGCCATTAATGGCATCATCTTTTCCCCATAGAGATCGCATCGAGGGAACAATGAGCTCCACTTTGGTTCACTAACAATCCACAGTGTTTTAATTTTACATTTACATGACAGACAAAAGAAGTCAACTCTGCTTTAGTTTTGATGATGGCCCATGTGCTGATTTTTTTGCTGGTAAAAGACACTGAGATTTTTTTCTGTTGTCGATGATTATTAATTTTCGAAAATATGTCGTCGAAGCAGAATGCTGAAGGTTCACTGAGGAATGTGTTGCAATTATCTGAAGTTCAGTAATTGTCACACCAACATCTTTTTTTAAATTAGTTTCAGCCAAAAGGCACAAGCACATGTACCTGGGCACTGCAGAATAGAATAGAATAGAAAAAGAGCAGAGCAGAATAGAGCATGAATGTTTTATTAGATGTTATGAACAGAGCTACGGTGCATGACTTGCTCAACCATGCAGTTCAAGTGGACCAGTTGTTATCACCGAGTTGTAAACGTAGCTCCAGCTCTGTGCTTTTCACTGGCTCTGCAGGCGAGATGACTTCCAGATGGTCCGGGGAAAGTGTTTGCCTTAGGTTACTGCAGGCCAGCCTGCCTGTGCCTTATTCAGCTGAGGGAAAGAGAAAGATTCAGTTTGTGTGTGTGAGTGCAGACATGCATCACACAGACCTACTTTTTTTTTTTACGCACACACACACACACACACACACACACACACCAACTCCACAAGCTCTCAACTGGCTGGTTCCTGTCCATGACACTCAGCTGCTGTCTGTGAAGTGGTTCCCAAAGTAGAGTCTAAGGACCACGAGGACACACCACGGGATCCCAACTAAGAATAAACAAGACAAAAAAAATTGTTAATTCAATGTGGATGTTAGGTGTAAGTAATAAGTAACTGTTTTACTACAACAACAGTGTCCAGTCCAATAAAGCAGGTTTAACTTGATAGAGGACAAGTACGACTTTTCTATGTCCCATTATACTCGAGGAATGAAGGACAAATACGACAACATACAGTAGAATGACTTAAGGAGGCTTCATCTGCCAGAGAAAGACGAGTCAAGTGGCTTCTTTCCAAAGTTAGTCTTCTTTGTAAAAATTCCCTCTTTGTGTTTTCACGGACAGTTGCCAAGTTTCCATACGAATGTAGTTCAATTTTTTAAAACAACATTCAGAAAGCTGTCGAGAGAAAAGGTATGTGTATTTCCATAAACTATACTCTTATATGAAATTTAGAACCAGGGCACATCGACACAAGCATTCGCTGGTGCAAACCGGTGCTGTTGAACTGTTGCAGAAGATGCAGTGAGATGATGCAACTGAAAGAGCATCGGTCAAACTACAAGCCATGAATAAATCATGGAAATATGCTGTTCATGTTTGTTTCATGTATACATTCGATGAAGGACAGACTTCTTATTGGTTTGCACTGATCTGAGGCTTTCATATGTTTAAGTCATGTATAATTTGGTCACTAAGCCTTTTTCCCAACTTTTCCACACCAGTCAAGTGCAGAAGCTTTTTGCTTATTTCAATTATTTTTATCTCTAATTTCTGGCGTTTCAATTCAGGTTTTTTAAAACGCAGATTGAAACTCAGTATAACAGAAAGTAGATGGAAATACATGTCTTTTCTTACTCATCTGCAGTGAAGGGACAGTGACACAAACAGGATATTGAAGTGAAAAATTAGACCTTATGTTATCTGCACAAGCTGCTCATACATCGTAGTGACATTTTATTAGGTAACGTCTGGCGTCCGTAGTAACAGCAGCCAAGGAGGAAGTCAAATGAGTAACAATGTTGGGATAAGACTTGGGTGGTTAGATGTATCCACAGGCAACAACACTTTCACACCAAACACTTCTGTTTGTTTTCCATTTGCAACCCATAGTTTTCTTGTTTCTTGTATTCTTACACATTCCATCTTAACTGCCTGTTTGCTGTAACCATGTCTATAAACGTCCTCTAACCTTAAGGAAGTACTTATTTGAACCAGCAATCTTTTCCTAAACATAACCAAACCTAACCTTAACCCAACTATAACAATGACCATAATGTGACCACAACATCAAATGGATGCTATTTTAGGAGACCCTCCTACACGGGTCAGAGACAAACTATCTATTTTTCAGGTTGCAGGACTTGTTGTGAGAAGCTTGACCCCTTTTCCTCTGATCAAAAAAACAACAACTAACATCCAATAACATCTGGCTTTTGTCTGCAATAGAAATAGATTCACTCTGCATTCACTCCCGGGTCAGATGACTCTGACGCACATTTAAATCGGCTCCGATCTGCAGTATGGAAACGTGACACCTGGGTGAACCCACTAATTTGGCAACACAGTGAGATGAGAGAGCACCTCATCTTATGATATGAGTGGATGGGTTGTGTGTTGGTTGTGTGACTACTGTTTACAAGCCAAATTGTCCCTCGGGACAATAAAGACTATACACTTAACCCTTCAACATGACACACCGGGGCACTAAACAGGAAGGCCTCTATTGGCAATGGGAAAGGAGTCAATCTCTTTTTTTAGCTGGTTTACCCATGTTTGTAAAAAACTGTGTACCGGCTATTTTTAGTGTTAAAAAGGTCAAACTGACAGATGACCACTGAACTTGTCTGAAGCCTCATTCAATAACCCTAACCCAAAAAGAGACAGACAGTAGATTCTGTCGTGTATTTCTTACACTGGAATTTCACTGGAAAGATTTTTCACCAATGCAGGAAAAACATCACCATGGAAAACCAGTGAACCAGTGAGGCTCTCACTGCACATGTGGGTATCTCAGTGTTTTTTCAGGACAGACTTGGAAAGTGTGATAATTGATTCTTGACCAACATTGGCTACTGTTTGACTGCCCACATTTTCTTGCACCCTTGGGTAAAGGAAACCTTGGGGAGTGATCTCCCTGAGAGCTCTTGGCGTGAAAAAGCTTCGGAAGCCGCTGGCGCAGTTGAAAACACTTCGACTTGACCTGACCCTGCTTTTTCCCAACCTGTTTTAGGACACACAGATGCTGCTGCCGCTGCTGCCCACTCGCCTCCTCCTCCTCTTCCTCAGCTTCAGTCCCGCCCACCGCCACCTGGCTCTGCTGCGCACCGCCGACTGGAGGCAGAGCGCCGCTACTCCTCTTCCCCTCACCAGCGGACAAGCAGAAACCTGGGAGCCCCTGAAACCGAGGGTGTGTGCGAGAATTGTTTTCTCACATTTTTAAAAACCGATTCCTACACGATCCGAAGCGACTCGACGTTTGGAGGATTCTGGAGGAAAGAGCGAAGACGCGTAAAGACTAAACCACAGGGTGCTTTTGCGCACTACTGCATCCTCTCCTCTCCATCTCTTTCTGCTCTCTCCTCCTCCTCCTAAGCCTCTGCGCTTTTTACGTGACTCCGGGTTTCTCCCTCTCCAGACTCACCACGAGCCTCGTCGTGAGCCGCCCTTCTTCTTTTGTCGGAGTTTGAAACACATTTTCTCGAGCCGCTGGAAGTACACCGCCTCAGCCCCGGGACTCTGCAGCTTTCGTCCTCCCGACACAAGCGGATCATCGCGGGGACCGTGCGCGTAATCTGGGGGACTGGAAATTATTTAGCCCCCTCACATCAACGTACCGCATGGTGGGAATTTCTGCCTCTTTTCAGTGTAAGTGCTCTCTCGCTTTATGGGTTGTGTTTCCCCAGCCGTGCCTTGGTTGTTGTGTTTTGTTCTCACGCATGGAAATGACATTTTTGATTTGTACATATGGTGATTTATAGAGCTGAAGAGTTAAAGTAAAAATAAAACGCTTTGAATCAAAGCCAATCATCACGTTTGACTATTTCTTTAAATATTTACAGAAGTACAACATTTAATTTAATTCTATTGTGTGAGATGACAAGTTGCAGGACTGAACAATGTGTGTCTGTGCTGTGCGTGACTGTGTTATGGTCACAGACACATTTTATCCTATTGGGAAATTAAAAATGAGCTCATTTGTCATTTAAGAAATTCTAAAAGTAGATCGACTAAATATCCAAACTTTGCAGATTTAACAACCGATTATCGTCAAAACTCACCAATTTAACCACTGAACCATTTCTTGTATCTGATGACATTTTCCAAGAATCAAGTTATTTTTGTGATTTAAAAAAAACTATTTGCTTTACACAAATGACTGGTGTTGTTGGAGATAGAGACATCAAGTCACAGCTGTCCCCATAAAGAGCACAGATCAATTCATGAGCTTGAACCCAGGATGAAGGGTTGTTCTCAGGCAACAGGCAATTCACGTTGACTGGTCAAGTTTGCGTTCTTATAAGGGAAGTATAGCCTTTACAGCAGCTGAGGAAAATAATTAAAAAGGTAAAATATGCAAGTGAATAAAGATAATAAACCAAAATCTGAAGATTGATTCTCACTATAGTTACTAAAAGAAACACATTTTGTTGTTCGTCATCCTTTTTCAAGACATTGTGGTTGAAGATGTTTGCAGGTTGGTGGAAATTTTGAATGAAGCGACTTTGTGATTCTGTCTGTGTTGTGGAAAGCCTCCTCTCCTCTCCTCTCCTCTCCTCCTCTCCTCTCCTCTCCTCTCCTCCTCTCCTCTCCTCTCCTCTCCTCTCCTCTCCTCTCCTCTCCTCTCCTCTCCTATCCTCTCCTCACTGCATGCTCGGGCATCCTGGAAAGCATTTATAGAGAGAGACTTTGCATTTCTGACTTTGCATTTGAAAACATCCTCTAGGGACTCTGTTACAACTGTCAAACGCATCTTCTTAAATCCATATGAAGTTTCCATCTCCACCCGCTGTGACTTTGTCATCATCACACAACCTAAAGCACAAAAAAGGCGAAAATTGTATTCTTTTTTTAATGGAGAGGCGTAGGATTGAAATTAAAGGGTTTGGGCTATATTTTACTCCAGTGGGAATGTTTTCACCCAACTGGGAAAAGAGCAGACATGCGGCTAAGAGGGAGGGAGGCTGCTGGGATACAATGCTGTTGATGCCCGACTGTTCTCACGGCTCTCTCTGTAGAGGAGGAGGAAAATATCTCCTGGAAACACGCAGGGCTTTGGACATTTTTTACGCATGCCAAATAGTCCCATGCAAAGCTTTGCAGGCACCCAAGAGGGTGATTGTTAACTCCTCTCAAAAGCTTGACCCACTGCTGACGTAGACTTTGCTGTGTTAAATGTGGATGTAGGGGGATTGTTTAGAAGCATGTTGCATTGATACGTCAACAAGAAAACAGTGAATCAGTTCCTGCGATGAGAAAATCTGCATCTAAGATTAGAAGTGTTTTTACCGGGCTGTCATGATGGATACATGGTGATATAAAAGTAAATTCAATATTATCAAGCTTATTATTCTCAGTATTAATTGTTAGTTTTTATTATTATTTACTGCTGTGGTCATACTATTCAAATTGTTTACCCTGGCCATCATTTACTGTGTCATCTGTTGTTGTTTTTCCATTCTTTAACCACTGGGATTTCCATTAAAGTAGTGACTTGACTGAAAAGACCATTACCTGGAGTGTGTGTGTTTACAGAGATAAAGAGAGAGAGGGAGACAGAGAGAGAGAAGGAGTAAATGAAAGGTAAACAAAGCTGGTGATGAGGGGAGAGTAAATGATAAGTGCTGTTTGCAGGTTATCACTGTGTGTGTGTGTGTGTGTGTG